AGCGCTTTATACACCCCAAAAAACAAAAAAAAAAAAAAAAAAAAAAAAGAAGGAAAGAAAATTTCTCTGATTAAAAAGCAACAAAGCTAGCACTGAGGAATAATGACAAACTACCCCTTGCCAACCTTAGTTCCTGCTTTCATATGGTACTACTGAGAAGCAGTGTCCTTGGATGACAACCTTGGAGGCTGGCAAGGTCTCTGGCCCTGAAAACATCTCTTAGGAAGTTGTTTGAAACATCAGCATGGAATCACCTACTTCTCTGCTTTCTGACCACTGTCACCTTTGTATATGACGCAGCCGAAAATGTAATCTCACAGAGGACCTAGCCAAATATGTGCATGTGGTGTTCAGGGCAGTCCAAGAACTTAATTTTGCCTGGGATGCCTGAGCCAGGAGCTTGAAAGTAGATACCACAGGGCGAGCAATTCCTGATTAAAAACATACTGTTGGGCAGCTTTTCGGTTATGTAATTGTCTCATTAAATTATTAATGTAATTGTTATCTGTTTGAAACCAAGTTGGGTCATGTGATCAGTGTCTTCTCCTGCTAACCCAGCACTCACCATATGACTGTAGGGACCAACAAGGGAAAAGATGAACTGCCTTACATGGGATAGAATCTAGGGTCAGATGTTCAGCTTTAGGGAGTTCCTTGAACTTTAGCTTACTGCATTGGAAAGCTACTTAACTCTCAAGTGTGGAGCTTCTATATTTTTCTTATTATCTGGCCAGATGCTTCTAGCAACTACAAGTAGAACTCGGAGTTTGGTCTTGGCTGAGGCTGCTATCTCTAGACACATTTTTCTCCTTGGCTACCTGGGGTCTCAGAAGATGACTTTTTCATGCATGCTGCCTCATACATCACAGGCACTAAAAATTTTGCAGGAAACCCAGTAACCCCATGACCTAACCACCCTCCCCCCAACTGTTACTGCAGAGCTATCTTCTTGTCAGTGTGCTGTACATGGAGCAGTGGGGTGGTTTGCTGAGTTCATGCCTCTACTCTGATCGCTCACTTTGCCCATCTGGACTTAAACGAGACAAAACCATCCCTCAGCCACCGGAACACTCTTGACTCAAAACAATCTCCTGGAAAACATAGGCTACAGGTTGAAGGCATGATGACCTAAGGTGGGGTAAGAAAAGGGATGAAAAGACTGGCTTCTGGTAGTGTGCATGAAACTTTATCTCATACAAGGGACTTCATTTAGCAGATCTTCCCATGTCCCCAGTGCTGAGCTAACTTCTGGCAATGGAAAGAAGAATCATTAAAGTTCCTCAAGAAGGGCTCCATTCATCCCTTTATATGCTGAAGGATTTTGACTTGTTCATTTAATTAAAACTTCCTAAATTTAATATAGGTGACAGAATATAATAGTGTCAGCCAAAGCTGAGTCCTTGCTAAAAGGTTAATACTGATTCATTTTCAGTACCTCATAGGCAGAACATTTTGCTTAAAATGAACAAGTTATTGTCCTTGGCAGAAGTATTCAAAAGACCCTAATTCACTCATTGTTTTTCTTGCAATGCATATTAACTGGCAGTCTTTATCTATAATGTATATCTATGTGCACATTTAAATCACCAGTGAATCATCTGAAATGTGTGCTTTCTTACAATTACAGAAAAAGAGTAAAAAAGGAGCTAATAACTGTAGTATCTAATTGGTAAACATTTGAGAATCCAGTTGATACATCACCTTGTATCAAGAGCTTCAAATGTTTCTTTGGTAATTTTATTTCCCACAAATATTGTCCCCAGATCCCTAGAAGGCACTAAGGTGTTCTGCTTAAGAGCAAAGCTTGGGTATCAAACAAGTTTGGGTGGAATTACAGCTCTGTCACATAATAATTTTGCTACCCTGGATAGGTTATTGTACCACTAGGAGCCAGCAATGGAAGAAATGACTACGATCTGTATGAACTGTTTTGCAGTATAATAAATGTTTATTAAGTGCCAACTATGTATTCAAACTGGTGTAGACATTGAGAATGCCACAGTAAACAAAGCAGACGTGTTTGTATAGAGTTCTTGGTGCTTACTATACAGATGAAGAAAAGTATAACAATTGAATAATTTCAGTTGGGAAATTGCAGTGAGAAAAAGAGGCTAAACAGGTATGGGTGTGTAAAGTGGCCCTGGGCTGGGCTCTCCAGAGGAAGAGATGTTTGTTCCAAAATCCGAAAGATGAGTTGTAGTAAACCAGGTGAAAAGAGGGTAGAATAGTATGCTTAGCCGAAGGTCCGCTGTACACTTCCTGAGACACTGAAACCACACAGATGTAATTCAACCAGGGTAAACAGTGATCTGAACCCAACTCAAATTTCCATGGTACCATCTGTAGTACTCTCATATAAAAACACCAAAGTGCCATTGCTTCTCTGCCACTATATGACAAGATTCTCCTTTTTCAAATGTAGTAGCTATATCAGATAATATGATCTAGGTTATGCTGAGTTTAATAACCCTAAAATCTCAATGGATTAAACCAGAAACTAACAAACCACCATGTGTTAACCAAATCTAGCTGCTGCTTGCTTTGTAAATAAAGTTTTGTTGAAATATTTTTTAAAAAGAACTTCAAATATTTCTTAAATGTGAATGCCACATGAATAAAGGTATAAACATGGTATTCTCACCCATGCCAATGAACGTCAAGTAATGCAATCTGTTTGCGTTTTCAAGTTCTCACTAGTGTGATATCCCAAGAATGCCTGCTTTCCTCAGTTTTACAGGCCGCTGAACATCCGAATAGTGTTGGTAGGTGTGGAAGTATGGAATGACATTGACAAATGCTCTATAAGTCAGGACCCATTTAGCAGCCTCCATGAGTTTCTGGACTGGAGAAAGATGAAGCTTCTACCTCGCAAATCCCACGACAATGCACAGCTCATCAGGTGGGTTTTTCTGACTCCTCTTCGCTTAAAGAAATCACATCACCTGCAAATCCTCATCTCTTAGCTGCTCCTGCCCAACCCCATAGCTCCAGTCCTTTCTACAGTGCACATGGCTCCCGCAAGGGGCTCTTCAGCCCACATCAGTGGAGCAGCACCATCCCTATCTGGAATCACAGGTCTGCAAGGAAAGTTCCCTTGGATGCTGGAAAGCCTGTCTCTCTGTAGAAGTATCATTGCCTTCTTGCATAACTTGGATATTTTCTGCTATAGCAATTTTTCTGCTCTTAGTCTTGATATAAAATTGTCCTGATAGGCTATTTTTTAAAGACCCATTGTCTTTTACATATTATTAATGAAAAATACATGTTTAGACAAGATTTAAGGACAGGAAATTTGGTTGACTATTGTCAGATGCCTGGAGGCGAAAAGCCTTCATCCCTCCTCTGGGCTGTTGCTCTCTGGCTCCCTAGGTCAGAGAGTCTCAGCAGTATAGCATACTGACCTCATGCCCTCTCTTTAATCGGCACATATTGACCACCTAGTAGGAAACAGACCGTACTATCGAGGCTTGAGACTTAATGGTGACCAACACTTAAATTTCCTCTCCTGGGGGGGTCTCCAGTCTACTGAGGAGAAGATAACAGAAAATAAGAAAATTTCAGAGAGTAACAAGTGTCATGAAGCTAATAAAAATGAAGTAAAGTGTAGCTATAGCTTAACATAATATATGATGAGATGTTACCACACATTTATATTTCAAAGTGAAGAACATTCTTATTATAGTCTGAATTGGTACAGCGTAGATGTTTCCAGGAATGGCAAATGTTTATTTGAATATTTAAGCCATTTATGTCATGATTCTTTTGTGTTCATGCAGCTTACAGCATGAATGCAGAAGTTTCAGGGCCAGAGGATACTTTATTTGACAGGTCAGATCTGGTTTATTGAACATATAACATGAAAAGTTAAAAACCAGTCCTACCCCATTCTCACATTAGAAACTGTCTATATCTGCACTGATGCTGTTGGCAACAGCTAGTCATTTACTTTGGTGATTTTCATGGTGGGGGAGCTTCTTTCCTTGGGTATTTGTGGTTGCCTCATATTTTATGCATTGATTAGTTCTGAATTATTAAAAGTACATTTCATATATCTTGAGTTTGAGTGTTTTGTTTTGATTTCCCCCCACTGGAATCTGTCCAACTTGAACATCTGGAAACAAATTAACATCTTATATAACCTTATTACTTATAGACATGTACAGTTCTATCTATTCATATGGTTTATATAGAATGGAAACACAAATGCAGAAATCCCTAGTGCTGAAAATATGCAACCCTCCATATCTGAGGGTTCTATATCTATTAATTGGCTGCAGCAGAAAATACTCGTGAAAAAATTGCATCTGTACTAAACATATTTAGACTTTTTTGTCATTATTCCCTAAGCAATACCCCCTAACAACTCTTTACATCACATTTACATTGCATGAGGTATTATAAGTAATCTAGGGATTATTCAAATTATATGGGAGGGTATGCATAGGATACAAGCAAATATATAAGGAACTTGAGCCTCTGTAGCCTTTTATATGGGAAGAGCTGGAACCAACCCCTCATGGATATCAAGAGATGAATTCAGAGGGATGGATACATAGATGATAGATACATAGGGCTTTGTCTATACTTACTGCCTCTGTCCAAATGACCACAGCTAAAATATCTAATTTTTCAAACTATTTATACTATCTGTACATGTACATGACCAATGCAATAAGAGTAAGCCATTCAATTCCTCAAAAGGAGAGTCAAAATATACATTGATGAGATTTAACAGCATTTGCATTCAGTGGATCCCTGGTATCATTAGATTCACATATAGATTAAGATGCCAGGTGGGTGAAAGCCTGACTTGAAGCCTCAAGCCCTCTTTCAGAAGCTTCCTCCCTGGTTGTTGAGGCTTTGTAGGTGCTTATTTATTCTACTCTGGCTCCCAGACTACAGTCACTTTTCTGCCCACTTCAATTTTTACAAGCTTTATGGGCAGGACACTTTGAAGGTGTTTGGATCTCTAACAGGACTGCAGTGAGTTACACAGGAAAGCAAAATACAGCTATGACAGAAATGTACTACGGCACCTCATGTATTTCCTCACTAGCAGTGATTCTCAGTGACTGTCTTTGGCCTCTCTGTCAGCAAATATCATTGAAAGGGTTGGTTCTCTATAGTCTATTAGGAAATAGGCAGTCTGTGACCTGTAAGTGCAAAGTAACAATTGGTTTCTGTCTGAATCTAGACAACAAAATTCTGTAAGAATTATGGGACTATGACGTAACTGCAAATAAAATGTAAAGAAAAACACACAAAAATCACATGTAAATGTACACTCATGCATCCATTTTTATCGTTGCCTTTGGTGTTGCTAGCATGTCATCAGAATTTGAAATATCAGAAAATGCATCTGTTCTACATGATATTTTTTAAAAAGTCTCTCTTTTTGTTTCCTAGTGGGATTTATTTTCAAGGGACCACCATTGGCATGGCACCAATCATGAGCATGTGCACTGCAGAACAGTCTGGAGGAGTTGTCATGGTAAGCGGAGTACACCATAGAACGGGCTTCCCTTGTTAATGGTTCCCCAGGAAATCCCTACTCTTCTCAGAGTTAGTAAAATTAGTTCCTGTAACATTCCTTAATTTTAACTCTGTTCTTATCCTAGCTATGTTTATAATCTTATATAGGTCACAGTATTTTAGGGATTGTTTAGAAAATACAAATTGTACACAGAAAAGGTGGGTGTGTTGAAAAAAATTGCTAAACCTCAGTGAGGGAAATCATCCCCTTTTATGGTGAAATCTTTGCTGCTGGAACTTTTGGTCAAAGCATTCCAGTCCACAGCTTCCTCCGAGTGCTTGGATGAGCCAGGGCATTGGGGTTGCCCTTATCACTCAGCTTTTGAGATGGACTGTGGTCTGACCAAATGTTACTGTTCAAGTAATTTTCTGATGGTTCTGCCTGGGCCCAACAGTCAAAAGTTTGAGGTTTTTAACTCTACCACTGCAAATGTTTTACATACCTCTGGCCAGTGTACAATTTGTCTTTATAATAACCTCATTCTTGGAATGCAGAGACCCTAGGCTTATTGCTTTGCAAGAGTAACTGTCACATATGGCCTATATATGTTTGCAAAAGGAAACAAAATGGGAAGAATATTTGGGATTTCTTCTGATTTAAAGAGGGAGAGAGCTTTGATAGGCTGCCCAACAGGGGGCTCCTCCTACAGCCCCTCAGATTGTTCAAGAAGTGGTTTTTACTCTGCTCTCCTTGCTCTGAAACATCTAGCATTCTCAGCACCAGCCCTCAGACAGGGAGTATTCTTAGAGTCTTTCCTCCATCTCCATTAAATAAACATAGCTTTGCCCTCCCAGGAAAGCGTGGGTTCCTCCACATTTTTCAAGCAGAATATTTGTGAATGTTCAGTTGTAGTAAAGAGTGAAAGGAGTTATGTTCTGCTGACTGTTATTTTCTCTCCACATTCTGCCTAATCTAATCTTCTTAGTGAATATACGTAAACATTTTCCTCTTCTCTGGGTGCAGTGGTTGGTAACTGATGTAAGCATGCACTTGGTGGGTAGGCTATTTGTGGGGACTGCACCCACTCCCTGGGATGCTGGCTTGAATATGCTGCTCCCTGGTTTTCTTTCAACAGGGAATACCTGGAGATGATCTCCACCATGGAAGTCATTGGAAAGTTTGGTTTTTGTTGGTGCCAGGTTAATTTCAAGTCAGATCACAACTGTATTTTTACAGAGCAGCCTGTAAAATTTTAAGAGGAAATAATTTTCAGTTTCATGGTTCCACGGTTAGTTGCTACTGACTTTGCCACTTAAAACTGGCATAAATATATTTTGAGAGCTGGAGCTGAGTTCTTCATAAGCAAGGCAGGCCCTGCTGCTGTGTGGGCTGAAGTGATCCTGTAACTCATCTGACCATGTTAAGTAGCTTTCTTGGGCTCAAGTCCTTTATTCTTTCCACAGAAACATTTTATCAAGATTCCTTCTTTAAAATCGTATAGGAAAACATATTTTTAAAGCTGTTTGAGAAAGAATATGAGACAGTTGAAGCAATTTCATGTGCAATACCATGAAAATCAAGTCAAAATCAATGTTAATGTAAAGAAATAAGTCTTACCAATATGAAAGCAGTTAACCTTCTCTTTAGACAAAATTCCTGTTTATTCTACACATAAAAGAAAATATCAGATAGGGTGAATAATGCACACAGCACCTTTAATTTCTATAAAATTCATGAAAGTAGCAAAATCAATATCTTTACCAGTTCCAAAATTTCTATACTAACTTTCTCTTATTGTATCTCTAATGTTAAATTAATGGGCATTACAGTAAGTTCCCAACTTACAAACATTCAAGTTGCAATCTCTCACAGATACAAATGGACCTCACATTAGGAGCATTCGTAGATGCAAACAAATCGTGGAAGCAGCTCGTGTGTCTGCCAGACCTTGTCCCACTGTGCTGCTGTGGGCTTCCTGTACAGTGCAGTGGTGCACAGCAGTACAGGGCTCTGTCAGAGTCCAGGATGTCCGGAAGCAAGAGGAAAAGCCGTGGCGATGCCAAGTGCAAAGCAATGTGCATTGCATATTTCTGACAAAGGTGTATAAGACTCACTTTGTCAGACTTACAAACGAATCCAAGTCATGAACATTATCCCAGTAAGTTGGGCACTTACTGTACATGTGACTCACAAGGTCTAACAAATCTGGGAGAAAGAAAATAATGTGGCAAGGAAGCAGGAAGCTTCAGAGAATTCAAAATACTATTTCTAGTACCATTTCTCCATTTTTTCAAGATAGAGCAAATCATAAATTTTAGTTACATTAAACCCATGCCTTTATATCTGTTTAAAGACTACCTTGATTTAGAGATAATACCATAAATTTATTAGATTAGGTTTTTTTTTCTTTATTACAAATGGAAACTATTAAGGTCTCTTAAGAGGCATTCAGTTTATAATCACTATGTGTGAATGAATGTAACATAATTTGGTATTTCAAAAACTGTGATATTTAGTGATATAAAAGTATTCTTTGAGAATGAATTCCTTGAATTTTATGTCAAAACATGCTAAATTCAGCCCTCCGCATTCTTAGATGGACCACATTCTTGTCACCAAAGTGTGTTATTCTTAAGAATTGACTTCCTGAAATGTATTTGTAAAGTTTTCTACAACAGGAAGGCAAGCATATAATCTAAACAAAATAATTTTTTAGGAATTTCATCTGTTCTAAAAATAATTTGCTTCCTTGACATGGAATTATTTTCTTAGACCATGGGCTTATGAGAGAGATAGCTGCAGATATAAATACCACTGACAAATCTGTAAGATTCTCCAAGAACACACTTTTATCCAGAGGCCTCACAAAGACCGTTTAGGTCAGGAATAATATTTTCTCTGAAATACAGCATCACACTGTTTCCTAGATGCCTTTTAGAAAACCCCTTTGCTGGATAGCACAAACCAAGATTCAAACAAGTTACCCTCCTTACTCTGTTGTGTGCAGCCTTTTCAAAAATGCCATTCGTGGGCATAATATTAACTAATTTTAGATGAGGATACCTAGCAATATTCTTTATTCCTAAGTGCTTGAGTCACACTATTCAAGCACTTCATTAAGTTAGCAGTGGCCAGAGGTGCTTGTTAATAGAGAAACCACCTCCCACAGCAAAGCAAAAGTTTAAGTGAACCCCAGTCAGGGAATTGGGATGCCACCCATTTCCACAGTCAATCCGATTACCCAGAAGACCAGTGAGAGTGAAATATAATGGGATGATAATCAGAGCTCAGTGAATCTTTAAACTCAATCCTCTATGTGTCCAGCTTTTGTTATCAATTATCTTGAACTTTCCAAGTATTCTCCCCTACCAAGTCAGAAGAAAGAGACAGGATCCATCAGAACTGCTCAGGATTTATTTAGAATGTCACAAAGCATGCTTTTTCCTGGCCTTGTATCAGAATGCTCTCAACTGGGGGTAAAATGGTACTTGTATTTTTTGGGAGCTTATTCTTCCTGTGATGTAGAACAACTTTTTACTTCATTCATGGAATACTGTTTTGTGAGAGATGGAAGGATGCTTGGTGACCATTGCCTGATTAATTCATGTACAGACATGGAGAATCTTACATATATATGTATATGACTTATATAGTCCTCAGCAGAATATACCCCAAATTGGCTTAATGAAATATGTCAGGTTTTTTTTTTAAACTTCAAATAATAGGTCTATACTGGTCCTCCAAAAGGAATTCGATTTAGTCAACTGTTAGCGATAGGTAAATGTCCAAGGAACAGGGAGGACAGGGACAAAAAGGCTGATGAGATGTGAACTATATGTCTGTGCTCTTATGTTTTCTTTGAGGATCATTCAGACAGCCCCCTTGGTGCGGCCGTGACCCTGGCTCATGAGCTGGGACACAATTTCGGGATGAACCATGACACACCAGAGAGGGGCTGCAGCTGCAAATTGGCTGCCGATAAAGGAGGCTGCATCATGAACCCTTCCACCGGGCAAGTACCAAGGCTGCCAAAGCTTTGAGAGTCGTGCACCGCTGGGAGTGCACACTGGGGAACATCTGAGCAAAAACTAAACATTCCCCCAAGATTTTGTTTGTTTGATTGGTTGGTTGGTTTGGGTTTTTTGTTTGTTTGTTTGTTTGTTTGCTAGAGTCTCTATGGAAGCTTCCAAAAACAGTGAAGAATGCCACTCTGCAGAGCAGAGCAGCCAAAGCCCCACGATGTGAGGGCTGCCCCCTTCCCTGGGAACTGGTGGGGATGGATGTTTTCTTTGTTTAGAAATCACAACCATCAGTGGGCTTTGCAAACTCAGTGGGCAGAACTGGGAGGGACCACGTGCCTAAATAGGATGCTGGATAGGTATTTCCTTGCTCTGGGGAATATTTGAAGGGCAACAGTAGCTTGAGGATATTTAGTATCCCTGCCTAACATCATGCCACCTTACCAGATCTTACAGATTTATAGAAAATATTATTCGGCTTCTGTACATAAGATTGGCCCTCCTTATCTAATGCCTTGCTGAAACTCCAGACTTGGTTCTACCAGAAAAGAGGAAGTAAACATCATGGGAGCCCTCAAATGAGACAAAATCTGATGCAGCTTGGGGTTGTTAGAGATTCGGATGTGCTCTTATACTTTGAGGGACCTATTCCAAACTGGTATATTGTGCCAATTTAGAGAGATTCTCATTAGTAAAGGAAAATATGTACAGGATTCAATGAATCTTCTTGTATTAAAACTTGAATGCTTTTAGACACTTACCTTCATGGAACTTTTCAAGTCAGGCATGCTCTCCAGGTTTACAGAAAGGACACATGGGAAACAAAAAGTAAGTGGTATTTGGATGGCCCAAATTTTGGCCTCTGCCAAACCTTATTAGCAAGGGGATAGCACAGCATGAGTTGAACACCTGCAAGAGTGATCAAAAAGTCCCCAAACAGGGAAGGATTGTTGCAAATTGCTATGCTTTTGCGATCAATAGCCTGAAGCCTCCTGTCAAGTGGTTTATAGGGCACCCAGTTGTTGCTATAACAAAGACTGAGCAGGACCATGCAACCACTTCAGGGTTTCGTCACCTCCTGTGACATTTCTTACAGCAAGATGTCACTTGCTAGCGTCTGTCACCACCATTCGCACAGAGCCTACCAAGTTATCTTTTTCAGTCATAATTCTGTCTCAGGCATAATTCAAGGGAGTCACCACCAAAACTTTGTTGAAGGTGTTCATCTGAGTCTGTGATGATGGAAGCCAAGGACCTGTGCAAAAGTGCAAATATCTTAAGCCAATACCAATAGGAAGTGAAATATTGCAAAGCTGTGGATATTAATAAGTGGAGCTCTCCAAAAGGGAGAGAGGCCACCCTGAAACAGAATATGTTCTCTGTCCTTAAGATATCCAAACAGAGGCGGAATAACCATTGGACATTCAGGGCAAGGAGCTCCTTCTTAGGCTATGGGGTTGGCCTAGGGCTTCTGTGTCCAACATGCCAGGAGCCCAGCAGAGGCTGATGGGGGCTGCTGCAACTTAAGGCTCTTTGTGCTTTCTCATTCTTGATGAACTCATGACGTGACCACAGCAAATGAATTCAGTGCCTATTCCTGATCACTGAACAGGAACAAATATATTCACTTATACATGTGCACCAGAAGAGGCTCCCAGGGACCGAGATGTTCATATTGTCAATCGGTATTGTTACTACTTTTTAAATTCTTGATGACAGAAACAAAAGGAAGTAAGGAAAGCCCACCTTAGCAACACTGAATCGGATTGGAGAAACATGGTAGTTGAAATTCTGACGCAATTGTCTTTAGCAAGTGAGCAAGCTCTCTGACCCTTACTTAGTGCCTCGTCAATGGCATCAGCAGGTCTGCTTTTATCCACTCCTCCACTCCTCCTCCTCCTCACCAATATATTTGTTCACACATCGAACAAGTACTTGTGATTTCTATACTCATTGTGGTGAGGAATACACAGGTAAGGAAGACCCTACAGCTGTAAAAAAAAAAAAAAAAAAAAAAAAAAAAAAAAAAAAAAAA